TTACTTGCAAATATAATCACATTATGTCCAAGCTTTGTGACTGGGTTCAGAAATTAATAGCAACACAGAGCGTGTGTCGATCGGAAAACACAAGGGGACCACTCAGCAGATGCTTATCTACACGCGCTCTCTGCTCCGACCAAATACTGCTTCTACGTACAAGTACAATGTAAATATGTACTTATTGCTTCACTTATTATGCTGAACTTGTACCACAAAATAATATTCCTTCTTGATGCTAAGAAACGTAGTGACTGATCTGAAGATAAGCTATTTTACAGTCAGTGGTAAGTTAAAAAGCTTACTTTCATTTAAAATCTTCATAACTTCTAGGAACGTCAAACGTTATCGTTACAATTCTTTTCTACACGTCTATCAGGTTTAACTTATATTCAAGGTTACTTTTGAAAAATTCTTTAAATGTAAATTTTGCGTACCTACAATAATAAAAAATGCAATTAGGTACCACTAAATATGTATGAGTAGGGGTTTCTAAGAGGATATTACACGAATACTTAGAGTAACATGTGGCGCGTAAATGTGACTAAACGTAATTAATGATCGATTGTACGCACGACCATAGAGAATGGCCCGCACCCTCCGCAAATCTTTACCGCCTCAAAATGGGTGTCCCTAGAGACTCCAGCGCCTTTTAATTTGCAAGTATTAGGGGTGTACCCCGTAACGCTACCGTCCTTGTTATTTTTTTAAATTACATATTTGAGAGAGTGATTGATTTATAAAATAATGCTTTGAGTGACGAATGCAATTTTTAAAATATTTTTAGAAGGCAGGTAATTACCCAGTAGGAATGCAATTGCATCCACTAATGCTACGACATTAGATAGTTCATTCGAAAGTTAAATTTACTTTTATTAGTTACTTTACATGTATTTTTTAAAGTATTATATTTGACCGAATGATGATGATGAAATTGACACCTAAACATTAATTGTATATCTCTTTTTTTTCAACTACACATATTTTAACAAGTTTGTAAGTCATTCTTGCCTATGACTGCCTCGATGGTCGAGTAATCGCAAGTGCGACTGCCGGGCAAGGGGTCCCGGGTTCGATTCCTCGGTCGGTCAAAATATTACTGGGTTTTTAAAAAAAAATCTCAGTCGTAGCACGGAGTCTGGAAATGGGCCCGGTATATGGCAATAGGCTCACCCCTATTACATGGGACTCATAACATAAATAGTGAAAATGGGTGTTAATTCTGTGTGTACCTCTGCCTATTACGCTATGTCAGATTGTAATTTTTATAAATTATCTAAAATTCTACACAGTTACAAATTCCGAAACTTTTAAGTTATCACAATTAATGCTTATCCAGCAATTAATATTTCTTATCTAATCTTTAGTTCAGACACACCCCAACAGATGGCACTGTAAGTCGCTGATACAATTACCTATTGATGAATTCAATATACAATAATTTATAAAACTATACATATGTAGTTACATAAAATAATGTATTTAACACTTTATTTATTAAGTAGTTGGAGTTACCTACTTAGGAACAACACAAATGAAGTGAAAAAATTCAGAGCAAATCTAAGAGCATCTAGGAATGGTTATTATTTGTTTGACCTATTGTCCGATTTGAAAACCGTGACATAGAAATTGTGAACTGAATATACAGAATACAATTGAATTTCGTGTTGCAAAAAATCTTTATAACTACGTTCCTATGCAACGTGTATGAAGTAAACAAAAAGTAGCTCGGCAGCATTTAGTTTTAAATATACGCCGTTCACGCACACGCTGCGCGCGGATGCGTGGTTTATGACGTTACAGGGTACAATCCGGCCCATGTCGGGTGCGAATTTTACCCCACGCGAGAGGAACCAGCGAACAAGCATCACGTGGGCTTTTAATAAAAATTCTGAGTGTGAACAGCAGCTATCTGGGGTTGTTTTTGCCCAACTACTAACAAAATAGGGCACTATTTTGATGTGAGATTAGATTTATGTATGTAGATATAATCTGTTCTTCATCGCTAAGCATTTTAGAAAGTTGCGTTAAAATTGGAATTAAATGTTTCAGATGTATCAAACAGATTCTCATAGTTTTGTTTATTAACTTTTGTTAATAGTTATCAATTATGTTAATGTTAGTCAGTAAGTAGTTGTTACACTTACCAAAGTACCTATTATTTGTAATGATGTAATGATGTAATGAATGTATGAGTGTAAATAACTGTTAGTTAACCTAATAAATAAATAAATTATAATAGGTAACGATTATATTTACGTTAAAAATAAAATGCTTAATATTGTTTGCCACATATACACGGTGGGAGTATTTATCAGCTTATCATCGATCGCCCGTAGAGCCAGCTTGAGGGCTCAAAACGCTCTTACTGCGATAACATAGTCCACAGCCCCGTACCGAATTTTTAATCGGAGCCGCTGATGTCGTTTGTCTGTCGTACTCGCCCTGGGGGCTCTCGGTGCCGACTGGCGACTCCGCACTGCACCACACCGACCAAACCCCAATGCCAATTTAAAATTCATATCATTCTGCAACCGTAAATTAGTTTTCTCTTCACTATCACTGAGCATTCTAAAAAGTTGTTTACCACACGTCCCGTTGTTCGTCACAACTTTGCTACACCGGCAACAGATTTTTTCAGCTTTTATTGCATTTTGCTATTCGAATTTATGGTGTTCTGTTAAAATAACGATAAAAATACATCTGCAGTTTTTTTTAAATCAGTTTCCAATAATCTTCTTTGGTATAAATTTATAGTGTGTACATTGGGCATACATAGGTAGGCATGTAATCATTGACAGATAAATGCAATCATAAATCTATTTGTTGCCGAAAAAGAAAGATATCGATATTGGTCCGCGGCACTGGGAATATGAGATGGTAGGTCCGGTGTAATGTTTATTTGATACAAGTAATCGCCACATGATGTATGGAAGCGATCGGGCGCGGCGGCGGCGGTCGCATGCCGCGCGCCGCTCACTCATCGTCGACGTAAGGTTTATGATGATTATTCGATCTAAATGATGATTTATTACAGGATTAGGCAGGCACACGGTCCATTTTGTGGGGAGATTGGCTTTATTTATATTATAATACCTACTCACATTAAATCAGCAAGAAATCGGCTTTGTTGAATATTAATCACCGTGTTATTTATAAAACTCGTGGAGAGACACTGACTCATGTAATATGAACCTATTACGATAACAGTCGGTGAACAACGACATTACTTTATAAAGCAAACATTCAGATGAAAGAAATGGACAATCTGTAGTACTTGCTCAGGTGTACTCTTAACTCGGTTTAATTTATTTTTTGTTAAAAACAAAACTTTGTTGTCTTGGTATCGTTACTCCAAAAAGCAATTTAATATACCATCTCTCCAAGATTTAAGAATTTAATATTGGCAGCAGCTTGTTTAAATGGATGGATGCTTTTTTCGTTACCATAATTTTTAAGGCCGAGATAATCAAATTATGATTTTGTAAAAATGTGGTCTGAAATACCCCGCGGTACAATATTGTCCCTGGCGGCTACTGTAGTAAATAACAATTATTGCAAAAGACTTCCTCCCTCTTGTATCCAACACAAAGCTAATCAAATTATAATTTCAAATTAACCTTGGTTGCAGGCGACTTTATGGCACAACAATATAATTTAAAGTATTACTTTTAATTTGTCGACAAAAACGGTTGTTTAGGAGCAACTCCTTTTGTGAAACGAAGTGTTTCGAGGGAAAAGAGTAAAACAGACTTTGACTTATTGTACTTTTGTTACAAGTCTAGGCTAGTACTTATTGTGTAAAACTGGTAAAAACATTAAAAACAGAAAATTATAGTAATGTCAAATGATGCCACTCGTTTCAAACGAGTCTTTTTATCGATATTTACCTGTGTTGATGTTGTACCGATTCATAATAATAATCATATCCATTTGCTTTGCGGCAAAATACAGAATACAAAATGCATAACTTCTAACTTTGGACAAAGAATAACAAAGACGCCATTTAAATTACTTTAATATAAGTTTGTTTCTTTGAATCGCGATGTTGAGGGGAAATTTTTGGAATTCGTCTTAAAACATTTCTTGCAAAGAAGAAGCTTCCGACGTTGGCAGGAGTTAGACGGGCCTCAACATATTATAGAAAGTAAAATATGAGTCTGCAAATAAACTTGCAGCAACCCGCATTAAATATTGTGACCGTACAGAGTCCATTGAATATTCTAGAAACAAACGGAACTTACTTTCTAGGTACTTAACTTACTTTGTAGGTTAACTTGATTTGCAGAAAGACGAAAAGTATAGTTTTTGTACAAATAAATGTTGGTGATTATTATGCGTTAAGACGACAATTAGGCCGTTAACAGTTTAGAATATAAATTAGTAGACATATAAAGATACATATGCAGAGAAAGGTTTGTGCATTTAGTAAATCGATTATTATAAACGTTATATTGACCTATCTACATATTTATAGAGGATCAAAAGTGCAATCGTCGATAATATAGGTTGGCCCGGAGCGACCGTTGATTCAAAAGAAAGACAAGTAGAAAGTTTCCCGCCGAAGACATGAAATCATAGAACGATTTCTTTTACGACTTCGGTTTCAACTTCATAGCGATGAATTATGCAGAAAGGAGAGAGATTTCCTGCGATAAAAGTCGTAACACCCAAGAGTGTTCTAAAAAGAACTCTTAGAATATGATAAGGGAAACGAACATAAAATATTTAAATTTGAATTTTTTGTTGCAGCTTCAGATCACCCTAAATATTTACTATAGTTTAGAACTACCCTTACTGTATCCGTTTCTAATTTTTAAATTGTATTTTACACTTTTTTGTGAGTGAACTTGTTCTGTTATCTTAACGGCTGCTAATTTTAGTCTAATCGACTAAAATGCAGGTATGTGATCGAGGTAAAACTAAATCCGTAGACCGATCCAGCAGACGTTTGCACCAGTGGCTAACATGGTTCGGTATTTTTTTAATTGGCATTGCAGCGCGGAATAGAAGCGAAAGCGGGTTCGCCACAGCTAGACGCAGGAGTGAGCGGGGTGCGCCGCGCGCGTCCTGAATACCTAATTGACTAATATTAGTTGCTCTGAGGGGGAACTTCCTTAGAGGTGAGAGCTAAACTTGAGACAAAGAACACGTACGAGTCTTGTAAGGGCTACTTTTTTAGTTTTAATACGCGAACTTGATCCATCACTGACTCGCTCGTCAATGCTCAAGTATTATGATGTTTGTGGGGTCAAAAATATAGTATAGGTTTGGTTATGTAAAGTTTTAAATATTATATGTATTTTAATTTTGTAATTTCATCACAATGGCCACCTCAGTAAAAAGTACATTTACACATTGATTTTTCTCAATATTTCCTATTATAAACCTTCCATTGAATAAGTCTATTGTATGAGTTACATGAAGAATTGTTGAACAATGCTTGCACTAAATCATTTAGAACATAAAGAAGTTGTAAGTTCACCGCGACTAGTATTAAACTAACTTTACAAAAGGTATATTGTACCCATTTGAAGTTGCAATAAAGTATCTCGAGCACACAGCACGGACTTCACAGGCAACGTAGGTTTGAAATGAAATAAATTCCATTAGCGTAATTGGTAGCAAAAGCGAGTTATAGGCCTGTGTCTCGTCCCCCGGAGCGCACTCGCTCTCCGCCTTTTTAGTCGTCGAATGCAGCTTTTTAATCCCAAATTTACAATGGAATCATAAAAATATGAATCTTTATCTTAATTCCTTACAACATTGTCGTAACTTTAGAAATAAATACAGCACCAGATTTGTGAGTTGCAAAAGGCAACGCATTCTCTGAACAGTCTGAGGTTACTTTGTTATGCTAATCTTCATAATTCTTTAGGCGGAGGAAGTTTCGGCAACTTACTTTTTTGAAAATAACTTGTAATTCAGTCCTAATTTGTTACGCCGTTGAATGTTTACTTGCTCGGATAAAGTTAAAATCCACAGGTTTACAAGATTTTTTATATCTTCGTTATTATTATTTTGATTTAGCATTTATTGATATGTAGGCTCAGGGTCCGACATTATTTGAAAATAAAACAAAGGGGTTCACACAATCACTTAGTTTATTTCGATTAAATGAACTTACTTTCACATTAAGTTTTAATTCTAATAATTGAATAATTCAGCACTGATTATATAAAGGAAACACTCAAATAAAACCAACAATAAAATTACTCAGCGGTTGCGTAACGTGTGAACTGGGCAACGATCGACGAACGACTGCCTCGAGCTTGCGCTTGCGCTGCTTTATATATCACTCGGTGGTGGGGTTGAAGTGACGTCGGTCAGTTGTTTGTTCACTGCTTGCCCATTACATTCGCAGTTTACAAAATAATGACGGCGGCGCCGTCACGGCCATACTGACGTACGCTCGTCCTCGAGCGTTTTCCGAGCATCTGGGAATAAGATAACAACCCGTTCGTTCATCCTGGCATTTCTAATCTCTATCTAGTATAACCTTTAACATAAGCTTTCAATATTGTGCGGGTTCGGTTAACCCTTCAGCTTACCACAACTACTACGTTATCATCACTCATCAGTATTAGAACTGGAGACGATTGTGCTAGGCCGGATAAATATCCCTTTAGCGCATGCTAGACTGGACATCAGTCCCTTTAGCGTATGCTAGACCGGACATCAGTCCCTTTAGCGCATGCTAGACCGGACATCAGTCCCTTTAGCGTATGCTAGACCGGACATCAGTCCCTTTAGCGAATGCTAGACTGGACATCAGTCCCTTTAGCGAATGCTAGACTAGACATCAATCCCTTTAGCGAGTGCTAGACTGGACATCAGTCCCTTTAGCTGAGTCATTGGACCGGATTTTCCCTTCAATGACTCTTTCCTACATTTTTTTTGTTACTTTATTTTTTTTTTTTTTTTTTACTTTCTTTTTTTTATTTCTTCTTTTTTTTTAATTTCATAAATAAGTAATCAGTTACAACACTCATTCACTCTGGTAAATCTGATGATGGACTTTCCATACTATTACTAATAGCGCTAGGTACGTGAACTACGGGGCGGGGTACCTCGCTTAAGTTCTCATGGGAGACCTTGTACGTTCGATTAGAACCATTAACGAGTTTCAATTCGTACCTATCGTTTTCTAAGAAATCAGAGATTTTGTAGGGACCTTTATACTTTGGGATTACGTTTACAGTTAAAAGTTTAAAAAGTTACGACGTTTCAGTAGCAAAATCAATAACCAGAAAACTTTTAGACAAACTGACGTTTCACAATCTCACAAGATTATTATTCTACCAAGCAACCCAAAGCATTTAAACTTTACAAGTGATCGCGGCTGTGCATAGCCCAGTAACTCACAGCTACTCTTTTCTAACGCGAAACTTACAGGACACAAGAGAACGTGAACGAGAGAGACAAGAAACATCTATCTGCGGAGTATCTCTAAAGGATCGAATCAGAGACAAGATAATCTGACAAATAACCAAACATTTAATCTTACAAACTGAAACTGCATAAAAATCAATACGATACTAACTAACGTCACACAGACCAGTTACCAACCAGGCAATTCACCAATCAGATGCATTGCCATACAGGCGGTTTGCCACACAGGCGCTTTACCATACAGGCCCATCGCTACATGATCCTCATGAATGCGGTCTGGTGTGTGAAGACCCATAGCCACAAGTTCCTCATGGGTGCGGTGAGAGTACGAGTGCGTGAATATGATGTAAGTGTGGGTATTTTTTTTTTGATGGGACAAGCCCGCCACAACCTCCCAAAACCGCTGCAACTCCTGTAAGCCAGGATCTACAGTAGATACAACCATGAAAACACCGGAACATTGAAGTCCGGCGCGTCCCAGGGACATGAGTAACTGTCTTGGTTCCCGCAACGAAGTGAATCAGAAGATATTATAAGAGGAGAAGAAGAAAAAACTATAGTTTCCACTTACTTGAATATTACTGCAGGAGACAGAATGAATTAAGCCTGAAGGCACAAAGAAGAGACCGTACAACTGGGTGTAGTTATCTAGGCAGCAAACCAGTGATCAAGGAGCTGGTCTTAAATCCTTGACGCCGGATGTCCCTTTAAACACTTTATCTTTCTATATGTGTTCGATCCACCAAAAAAAAAATGAAGTGTGGGTATGTGAGTTATAGGTGTTGAGTGCAACTCATGACATTGACACTTTATAAAATTCTCAAAGAACCTGGTGATCAGATATTCTCCTCATCCTTAGTCCTTAGATCTACTGTATTTCAATTTCATCTGTTACAATTAAATTACTCGACATTTTACGTAACTTATAGGTGCTGCGATAGACATTTTTTGTAAGACGCAATATAATAATGAAATGCAGAGTCTCGTTACTCCGCGTTTTCTCTATTAGACAAAACCCGACTTTACTACATCTGGAATAACCACTGAACAGCCTATCTACTCACTACAACGCACTTAGCGAAAACATATCTCAAGGTCCTTTAAATAAAAAAAATGATCAACAGCCATCAAGATTTTCAAAGTAACCACAATTTATACACTACACAAGTGTGGGTAGTCATTCCAGTATTCCAGTCACAAGTCAGCCACGACTGTAGTTTCATTATATGGACTCGAGTCCCTGCCCCAGTAACGACTATGATACACGATATAGTAGAATAAATGAAAAGTTTTACCCTTACAATTACTTACTCACTAGGTACTGAAAGGTCCTAATTATAACAAATCCTAATGGCAAGATCAAGGGAAGCATGTTTCTCATCAGAGTATTCTTAGCGCTTTAACTATTTTCCAACCCAACAATAATCTTAAATGAATGTAGGACTTTAGAGGACTCTTCAATTCTGAATTTAACTACCAATTATTATTAGCAGCTTTTGACCTTTATTTGTTATAAACTACTTTTCTCAATACTCTGTACCGCGTTAGACAGCAAGCACCACTTAATTCTGCATCTACCTCGCGGAAACCATACCTCGCAAGTTCCAACCAAATGAAAGCCTAAGACTACTTGAGATATTACCTAACAATACACAACACAAAATAACACTATCAGACGTAATTCTAATGACCATGTATAATCTCGGATCTAAAACATCACGGCTATTTTCTTTAAACAACTACCCGACAAAAATAAAATAAAATTTCAAATTGGAAAACTAACAATTGTAAACTCAAGTCTTTGACTCGTTTTTGACCCATATGGTATCGGAATCATAATAAATGGAACAAAGTCACCTGGTATAATCCCGATGGGAGCAGTGTCCAATTGCAGACGTCAACACGCCGCTCACCAAACGCTGCGTGAACACCGCGTATCTTACGCTGTCACTGGACGCCAATGTACTCCGGCTTGAATTGGGACCACGTCATGTCTTCATTTGCTGCTTCAGATAGCGTTTCAGTTCGAAGTAGCTGCCTCAACGTTAGCCACGTGGAATCTTCACTACCGAATAGCTAGCTATGTATAGCTAAGCACTTCCAATCTTGCAGCACTATCTTCTTCGTCGCATTTGCATGTAGGTAGTTCTTCACGAACCGGCTCCGATAATTTTAACATTTTCAATAATCCCGGTCCATCCCACTTCTGATGTAGGCTCAGGGTCCGACATTATTTGAAAATAAAACAAAGGGGTTCACACAATCACTTAGTTTATTTCGATTAAATGAACTTACTTTCACATTAAGTTTTAATTCTAATAATTGAATAATTCAGCACTGATTATATAAAGGAAACACTCAAATAAAACCAACAATAAAATTACTCAGCGGTTGCGTAACGTGTGAACTGGGCAACGATCGACGAACGACTGCCTCGAGCTTGCGCTTGCGCTGCTTTATATATCACTCGGTGGTGGGGTTGAAGTGACGTCGGTCAGTTGTTTGTTCACTGCTTGCCCATTACATTCGCAGTTTACAAAATAATGACGGCGGCGCCGTCAGATACAATCGACGTTGTGTTCAAACAAACTAATAATGTGAATGGATATTGTTATCACAGTAATTATAAACTCGACAATCAGGGAACCCTGTACTGAAACTACCCTGACAGTCTTGTAAAGC